ATACATACTGGTACGAATTGAAATTGCTATCTCTTTAACCGACTTTCAAATAGGAGGAGGTTCTCAATTCGTCAGAATCTTTTTTTTATGTATGTTCACCGATTACTCAAAGACGCCTAAACCGATTTGCATTTTTTTTGTTTCAAAGGGTATACTTCGCAAGTGGTCATATAAATTTTATCAAAATCAGTCGAGCGGTTTTTATAAAAAAATCAACAATTAGTATTTTTTTAATAAATTGTTTAATCGAGTATATTTTAAAAAAAACTTTCTACTTACAAATTACCTGCTTATTACGTCTACACTAAAAATGGATAAAATAAAAACTTAAAAAAAACCACTTCCAAGCACTAAAATGTAAAAATAACTAAACGGAGGTTTTCATTTAGAATACCTAATCAGATATTTTCGAAGTCGATGCCAGCGGACAATATTTTAAGATATAAATACCTAATAGGTAAAAATGTATTTTACGTATCTAAATATATAAGATTTGCTTTGGCATCGGCTGGCACCGAAAATATCTGATTAGGTATCTATTCTAAATAAAAACGTCCGTTTAGTTATTTTTTACATTTTAGTGCCTGGAAGTCGGTTTTTTTTAAGTTTTTATTAGTAGTCAATATATATGTATGAACATACCTAAAATCTACCATTGAAAATATTTGTTAAAATATTTTTTTAAATATACCAAATATGTAATTAAAACTTTTATCTATGTATTTAACCGTATTTTGGTCAATGATTATATGATATCCTATCGATTATACATCAATTAAGAATTGTAATAAGTAATTAATCATAAATATGAACAATATTTTAAATCAGTACGTACACTTATGAATTGTGATTAAAAGTTGAAAAGCAATCGTGAAAGATAATTTTTATGTTATCATCTTTATTAACGCCATGTATAGTTTCGGTATGTCAATGATAAAATTAATTAATTAAATTAATTATGATTGATTTGTGATATATAATTACTTTCGCCGATCCATTTACTTGCATTTAAATGTATTGGCGGTGCAGTCGATAGGCACTATATTAAAGCTGTGCAATCAGCCTTAAAATTTTAAAATCAAAAGTTCACATGTAGGTTGTAATTATTTTTAGTTTTATTTATATTTAATTCATACAATGCAAAGTACATAAAACATCATTAGAATATGTTTAATAATCAATGATAATCGTTAATCCATACTAATGTTATAAACTAGCATTGCCCGCGGCTCCGCCCGCGTTCAGATGACCAAAAACCAAATTCTTAGGTATTACATATTAGTATACTCTTACAATGCAGTTTTTGTATTTTTTTTTCTCAGAAATGAGATATCTATCCTATATGTTGACCCGGATAACCAGCTACCATCATACCAAATTTCATCAAAATCTGTCCCAGTGGTTTTCTCGTGATGCGGTAACAAACAGACAGACAGACAAAAGTTCTAAAAACTATAGATTCGGACTCTGTATCGATAATAAAGTCTATTTCAATTAGATTTTCCAAAAAATATTTAATGTACAGATTCGACTTAGTTACGATTTTATTATATGTATAGATGTATAAGTTTGTGAGGACGGATGGATGTTTCTTACCTTTTCACGCGAGAACGGCTGAACGGATCTGGATGGAATTTGGCACAGAGATAGATTATAGTCTGGAATAGCCAATAGGTTACTTTTTATCCCTAATAAATGTAAGGTACCCGTGGAATGATTTGTTTTTGACTAGGGACCAACCCGAAGCGAATCGACGGTGAGTTATAACATATGTATGTATTTGTGATTGTTATACTTAGGTAACTTTACAGAGTTAGAGATATCAATGCATATTTTATCTTTTGATACGGGAATATTGAAGTTTAAATAAGAAACAATCAATTTACTACACGTTACATAATGACGACACGTTTGGCTCAGTTTGTAGTATCCCTACTTGCTGTGCCAGCTGCCGCGGGTTCGAGTCCCGTTGGGGACATTCACTTGTGTGATGAGCATGAATGTTTGTACTCCTGTCATGGGTGTTTATATTTATAATATTTACAATATGTATGTATTTAATGTTATATATGTGTAGTATATCAACTATCTGGTATCCATAACACGAGGCTCGTAACTTACTATGGAACTAGATGGTGATGTGTGTTAATGTTCCAACATATTTATTATTACTATCTTAAAGAACAACGCAAGCAAAACTTTGTTAATGTTACAAAAAACACAATTACATAAAATTAGAATAACCACATCGAGAAGGCTATTTTTCTTCAATAAATATTAATAGCCACTGTACTTTTGTTAGCGACTGAGATGTTCCACGAATATTTAAAGGTTGGTGTTTGAACAAGATACCAATTTATTTTAATGGACGTCATTTTTGAATTGCTTCTCTATTATTAAAGGACGGAAGGGCAAGGTCGATTGTTTATAGAAGTTAAAGTCAATCTCGATGTTTAAAGCAGCTTGATGATTGATCAATAGAGCAAAAGTTTGTTCCAATTATTATTCCCCAATAAATAATTTCATAAATATTTGAAAACGCGTATAACTATAAATACGCCCTCTTTTTACCCGATTGCGGCGAAGCCCAAAGAAGGGTTATGTGTTTGACCTCTATGTATGATGTATGTCCGAGCCCATGTTCTCTTGTAATTACTAAACGGCTTAACCGATTTGATGATTCATGCGTCATTCGATTGTTATTTATATAGATATTAAAAATGAAAATGGCGGATCCTAGACTTGAAAAAAAAATTATCGGAATAAATCGAGTGGAGTATCAAAATACAGGTTTTTATGAAGCGATTACAAACATATACACAACATATAATTATGTTATTTAAAGTAATTTAGCATAAGCAATTGTTAACTAAAAATAAAAATATCTAACTGATCAAAACTAAGCTAAGTTAGCTAGGCTGTAAATAGAAAAAAATATTACAAAAATAAAAAACCCGACTGCTCAAAAAGTGAAATAAAAAGAAGAGTACAAGTTGACGAAGGAAAATAGTACTATGCAGTCTTTTTAGTTCAATTTTACCCGGACGGGCTTTTTATTCTTGTAAATATTAATTACGAACAGTAAGTGTAGATATTAGACATCTTTCGTAGAATAGCCAACACAGTCAAGTCGCGTAGAATAATTATTATTCAATGTTAAATAATTAAATACAAATCGCAGTAAATACTAAAATCACTTTAAAAAAAAAATTAAAAAAAAATTGGACATTCGTAATGAAATAGGTTGAGCTTGTTGAAATTAAGCTCGACCATGAAAATAAGGCTCAATTTCGCTAGAGGGCTCTCAATGAAACGCGGACGAGAAAAACTTGAGCTGACCCTGAGTGCTTATTATAGACGATATGAAAGAGCAGTGGTTTTAAATAAAAATATTTTATGAATAATATATTTACGTTATAATATCCACGTGCCAGATCGTTTTATTAGTTTTGGACGATTAATTTTTAATGTAATATAATAATATAATCTAATATAATTATCATAAAATTTAGTATACAGGCGGTTTCGGGAGCGATAAATCGATCTAGATTAGTTTAATGTCTGGGAAAACGCGTGTTTTCGAGTTTTCATGCGATTTTGTTTCACATTATTCCACGCAAAATATGGTCGCTAATTCGAACGCTAGGATGTAAGCATCGTGGTCAAGCGGCCAGGGCGCAAGTTTGACAACCAAAGTTGTCTATGTTCGTATCCCGGTCGGATACAAAGTTTTTACTTTCGTTTTTTTTTATATTTATTCAATTTTTTAGTTTGTTTTGTTTTAATGTTTTTTCGGCCAAAAACTCTGAGCGAAGCTCGGTCGCCCAGGTACTATTTCTTAATAAAAGAACAATGACTAAAAGACGAAAATATATTTTTGTCCAATCAGACTACTTTGTAAATGTGAAGTTTGTATTTGTGTTTCATACTTCTCCACACTATTTTATTAGGTATAGGTAACGTAGTATACGGATAAAAGTTTTGCTTCAAAATTTTGCATGGCATACTTACTAGCGGTACGGTGAGATCATAGATATAGTATTTTTATCTGCACTTTTCAGATTCATGACTTTACTAGTTTTCTCCTCATTCCGAGTTAGCACTCGTAACTTCTTACATTGTAACATCTTACTTAAAGCAATGTCAATAAGTATATTTTGTAGTTGCGCAAAATCTTTGCCATTACATTACATTGTTATGCATTACAATTAATCTATAATTATTTTACTAATAAATTATAAAATATTGTATTAAATCATCAATTGAGGCTAGAATGTTTAATGACTATTATCTATATGTAAGTATACTAAAATTATAAAGAGGTAAAAATTGTGAGTTTGTGACATTGTAGGGGGTAATCTCTCGATCTACTGAACCGATTTAGATGAAATTTGGTAAGAAGATAGATTGAGACCCTGGGAAGGATATAGGACACTTTTTATCCTGGTAATTATCACTTAAGGGGGTGAAAAGGGGTTGAGATCAACCTAAGGACGAACCCGAGCGAAGCGAGGGTGAGTCACTTTATTACATAAAACTATATTATAGTACAAACTATTTTTCTTCTAGTTCAAAGTTGAAATAAAGTATTTGCATTTATCTTTAAAAATGCCAGATACGTATGTATGTATGTACTTTACCGATATGGTATCGATGAGTTTTTTCTATTTATAAAAAAGTAACCATAATATCAATACTTTTATGAAATAAACTATTTAAATTCATAAAAGTGTCAAAAATTTATTTATTTATTAAAATATAATTTATCAGACGCTAGGTCCTTTATTTTCCAAAAGATTATATCTTTTGGTGCATTAGGTACTGAGTATAGCGTTATAAAAACAAGTAAGTAAATTTTGCAGATTTCCAATTTTTTGTGAAAATATAGTATAAATTATAATAGATATATACGTCAGGAATATTATCACTTTGTCTTTCACTTCTTAGTTTAAAACAATCGAACCATAACACACTTTAGGCGTAATAATTTATAAGAATCACTCACCTTTTTTACACTCCTCGATATCTTCGTCAGAGTTGTCGCCGCAGTCGTTTTCCCCTTCACAAACCCATGTTATCGGTATACATCTCTTATTCGCACACTGAAACTGCTTCACTGAGCAAACATCTGAAAGGTAAATAAACAACGTGTAAAAAAACTAAATTACTCATGAAGGGTCGCATTTTACACTTTCATATTTAATAAGACAAATAAATATTCAAACAAGGCCACTTTCTTAGATTTACGCTAATATTTGACATCTATACATATAATAAAATTGTAACTGAGCCGAATCTGTACATTAGATATTTTTTGGAAAATCTAATTGATATAAACAATATTATCGATACAGAGGCCGAATCTATGGTTTTTAGAATTTTTGTCTGTCTCTCTGTTACCGCATCACAAAAAAACTACTGGAGGGATTTTGATAAAATTTGGTATTGTGATAGCTGGTTATCCCAGTCAAGATATAGGATACTTTTTACCGCGGGAAAATATTTCATTTCTGAGAAAAAATACAAAAACTGCAATATAAGAGTATATACTAATATGTAAAACCTAAGAATTTGGTTTTAGGTCATCTGAACGCAGCGCGGAGCCACGGGCAATGCTAGTTTTAAATAAAATCTATCTCAATATTTTCACGAATTTATTTTGATTTTTGTTGGGTAGGCACTAGGCATTGTGAACAAGTATATAATGACCTCTGAGACGTTTAAAACCTTAGTCTATCTCGTGACCATGATTGGTGTAAAGCATTCGAAATGTCGGGAACCAAAAATCAAAATAAATCCACAAAAAAATCCGAAAAGTTAGATTTATTTAAAGAACAAACAAAATATAACTACTTATAAACTTGCCAGTTATAAAATTGCCAAAACAATGGTACATACATATAAAACATCTGTTTGGCATCATATAAGTTAGCTCAAAAGTCTCATATTATCTTATGTACGCGTTGCAAGATATCAGATGTCAAAGGTCACGAAAATCGATTTTTTTGTAACCATCATATTTCCTTCGCTCAAAATGATTTTTGATGTTATTACAAACGTTGTTGAGCATAAAATTTATCCTTTTCTTTACCTTACACGAGACGGTATTTGCCCAAATGTAAATAATTTAACGACATTTATCTTTACTTAAATTATTATGTAAATAAGGTTAGGTAATAAGAAGAGGAAGTTACTAAAAGCATTCCATATAATAATTTCTTACATCAAGCGAGCCTGAGATAAAAGCATCTTCGAATAGAAATGGATCTGTACGTTGAAACTGTAAGCGAGTAGTGGCCTTTCAGAGCAATTTAATTTTCTATAGGCCGTCATTCCAGGCTGTCTCCATTTGCAATGTGAATATAAAGAAGGACGAAATGTGATAAAAAACGTTGGTGTTAATATCGAATTATTAATTTTAAGTTTATTTGATTATTACAATAAATGATTTCATAGAAGATGGCACACCTTGGGTATGAAATGATCGCCTCCATGCTACTTAAACTTGGTAGAAATATTGTAAATTATAATTTTACTTTAAAAAAAGATAACAAGTTAATATTAGTCCCACTGAGTTTCTTTCGCCAGTTCTTCTCAGGTCTGAGGCTTCTTCTTTCCGAACTGGTAGTAGACTCATGACGTTCAGTAAAAAATTGTAATAATTTAATGCTCAATGAAATAATTTGACTTTATTATTGCGATTGAAACACGGATACTTCTACGTATGTACATACTGTGCATTGTAAACCTTATAATACTATGTTTTCTTAGATTAAACGCCTTACATTGAAAACAAAAGAAATATGCAAGATCTGTAAATACGAATCAGCTTCGGCATTTGATGAAATCTTGCTCTTTGAAATGTTTTATTATATTTCCTTCGCTTACTATTAAGTTAATCAAATCAAATATTCTTTATTGCACACCACAAATATTTTTATAAAAAACTTAATATTAAAACTTTAGCGTTACAACGTAACAAACAAATTCAATAAAATTATACGAAATATTTAAATTGTTTATACATAACATTTTTAATTTGAATTTTTTCTTGTGAAATGCTCGTTTTCAGAACTTTCATCTAGTAGTGCTCCTAACTAAAAGAAAATATGCTTGCAAAGTCGAAGGCAGATAGTATTTAATTAAATAAAACGAAGGTAATTTTGCTAGAGTACAATCATTTTTTTGCTCAGTTCTGTAGCTAGTACCTACTCTATATTAGTGATTTCCTTTTTGTATTGAACAATAAAACTTCGAACAAATACTCCTAGAGAGGGTCAGAAAATTGGCTATGGAATTGGACACATTTGCTTGTTTAAGCAATGATTAATAAGAGTGAACGTATTTATTTGTATAGATTGGTCCTTTTGTTGTCTGATAACAATTACTTGGGCTTGTTAATACAAAAAGAGTATTGATTTATTATGTAAACAATACTTTGTCATTTTATATTATAACTAGCAGAACCCGCGGCTTCACTCGCGCTAAGACTACAAAAATATCTAAAAAGGTAGTTTCATAAAAACTTTCCTCCCCTACTTTACCCCCTTATAGAATTAATATCGAAAAATGCTTAAACACGTATTTATTTAATTTTATCGAAAAGCATTAATACCCAGTTTCAAGTGATTCTGATGATAAATAGTTTTTTGGATTGTATTATAACGTATTTTCCCGTGGGAATTAGATAATCTCTCGCGGTAAAAAGTAGCCTATGTCACTCTCTAGTTCTCCAATTATTTCCACACAAAAAATTACGCCAATCCGTCTTTGCGTTTCGACGTGAAAGAAGGACAAACAAACAAACAAACACACTTTCACATTTATAATATTAGTATCGAAGTATGGATATTAGAGATTTATAATTGATTTTTATGTAAAAAAAACAATATCAAATTAAAAGAGAATTTCTCGAACATTTCAATAATTAATTAATTACAATAACAGACAAGTCAAAAGTCATTAATAAAATCTTTGTTTTACATCTTACAATGTATATAAAAACTTAATCCAGCTCAAAACACCTTAGGTCATTTAATAACTAGATATTAGACATTTTTTTTATAACGGGCAACTTTAAAATTCAAAATTAAAAAATGCTACTTATAACCAAATTATATATTTTTTTAAATTATTACATTTGCTTAGTTCCCATACTTAAGAAAATAGTCTATCTTGATAGTATAAAGTTTAAAAAAGTACAGATACATGGGAGTACCTATTAAAGATGAATGTGTGGTGTTTAAAAGGACACTAATATAAATTCAATAAATTTCGGTTGAGGGCACTTTAGCTAAGCGAGTGACGGCTGGTGATGGACGCAACCGCAGTGACATCCAATCTGTATGGAGGACCCTCGTGTCTCTCATTGAGAGCAAATCGTTTGGTCATAGGGGAGGAGCGTGGTAGTAAAGTGAATTGTTATCGCCATACCTATAATGGTCAATAAGTTTCCATTTACTTGTAATACTATATGTATGTACATATTACATAGTATGCGAATGTAGTACCTGTCTATAGTTATTTTTGGTAAATCCCCTGCACGTTTAATTTTGATGATTTCACAGCATTCAATTAAAAATATTATTGTGTTTTATTGATATTTGTGTTTGTTTCATTATTAATACATCCAAAAAGGTTCTCAATTCGTCGGAATCTTTTTTTTATGTATGTTCACCGATTACTCGAAGACGCCTGAACCGCTTTGGATTTTTTTGTTGTTTCTTAAATATTACCTGCTTATTACGTCTACACTAAAAATGGAAAAATAAAAACTTAAAAAAATCCGACTTCCAGGCACAAAAATGTAAAAAATAACTAAACTGGGGTTTTCATTTAGAATAGATACCTAATCAGATATTTTTGAAGTCGGTTTTTTTTTAAGTTTTTATTTTATAAACACTTTTTTTATACCTTCAAATCTTATATTCAATTAAGATCTACCTATTGATTTATTTTTATTCTAAGTATGGAGTAAGTAACTTTGTACTCGTTTATTGTTGTATTATATTTAGGAAGCTTTTATTAGAAAATGATGAGAAATCCATTCCAGATCCATCCATCCAGCCATTCTCCAAAAAACATTCAAAGCTATAATATGGACCGCTATTTCTTTTAAAATTTAACATTATCTAATACTATTACAGTAACTAAATTCTAATATTACATAATTGTCTAAATTCTAATATTACAAAATGTCAAATTTAACTTTAACATCACACTCACTTATTTAAGACGTTAGCGTTTACAACGCTGGTACAGTCTACAAATATCATCATACAGGCGTTTAACGAAGGTGTCCAGACATGGCAATCATGCTAGGTGCATGGGGACACGATTAAGGCGCTCCCTGTACTGTCATACAGACTTTTATATGACATTCCGAAGGTGGCTTTAGTATTGAATAGCTACGAGATAATACAGCGCATTAACTTCGAAACCGTCATGAAAATTGGTACCTTTTCTTTAAAAACCCTGGCATCTGACGAAATTTTCTTTCATATCAAAGTCACCTACTGTACGGATTTACATATTGCGATATTGGTGTGACGTAAAGATTCTATATTCCTATAAGTGTTTAATATTTTATTCATATTATAAATGCGAAAGTTTGTGAGGATGTATGGATGTCTGGATGTACCTATAGATGTATAGATGTTTGTTACACTTTCACGTAAAAACTACTGAATGGATTTTAATGAAACTTCACAATAATATAGCTCATATATGAGAATAACACATAGGCTACTTTTTATCCCAGAAAAATGTACAGTTCCCGTGGGATAGATTTGTTCTTGTTTTTCTTAAAGCGAACCCGAACGGAGCGAGCGTGAGCCCGCTGCGCGCTAGTAATACAATAATTAATCGATTCGACTCTATTGACGAACTGTAAATAAAAAATCAGTAACAAAATTATATAGTAATTTTGAAACTTAGCAAACGTGTTAGCACTAATTTCATAATGAATTTTATTCCTGTAAATCAGATATTATTACGATTTAATAAGGCGAAAACTATATGCAAGAATTGCGAAACACATCGTAGGTATATTGGCCCAATAAAAAACGCGCGACAAGAATATTCATCAGATTCATATAAAGCGTGATGAAAATAAATATAACGTGAACA